ATCATAAAACATTCAAACTATATATTTATAAAGTTTTTAGGTTAAATCATGCGAGAAAAAGAGTTACCTATAAAATCCTAATAATGCTAATATCTGCTTTAACCCACCCTTTTAATTTTATGTATTTTGTTAAATTTATATTCATAAAATATATAGTAATATTCAATAATAATATATTTATATTAGCTCTAATTTGAAATTTTTATAAATAAAAAAGTGTTAATTTTATCTTTTAATGATTTAATTATTATTCATTTGAACAAGTACTATTTAACGACAAATCCTCAATCAAGATCACTATTCTATTTATATTTTGTCTCGAAATCTCTTTATTAATTTTAAGATACTATATTATTTTTATTAATTTACTAATAAGATTAAGCTTAGTACGTTTAATTAAAGAAAGCAATTTTTAGAAATCTTTTTATTTCGAAAAGTTAAATTTTAGCATATTATCCTAAAAAAATTATCAGTAGAAACTCCCATTAGAATTGTCTTGTATAAAAATTGAAAGTCTATTTTCAAATTCTAAACAAGTGATATTATATTCTTAATGTATATTATAAAATTAAATTTAATTATTTTCTAAAAGAATCAAAGAAAAGAAGATTTTGGCATTAGGGTTTATTATAGACCAAAGCATATTTTAAGGAAAAATTCAATAAAACATTAACTTGCATAATATCTTTGTATGCATGCACAAGTATTTTCAAGCTGAATAAGAATAGTTCAATTCTATTAATATTTAATTATAATTGCTTAACTTTTAATTAATAAATATCACAATATCAGTCAATTTTGAATAAAAAATAATAATAAAGTCAGCTCTCTAGAATTGTATTGAGTATTCGAAATTAGAAGAAAGAGGATCATTGCAAATTTGGCAAGTAACACCAAATTCACTTTATGTTGACGAAAATTCACCCATCATCAAAATAGTTTGAAGAAGAAATGCATTCAAAATTCTTTGACTACTATATTAGTAGATTATCTATTTTTAGGATCTTTTTCTCAATGATATCTCATATATATATGAGTAATGGATACCTATTGAATAAATTTATTTATTATTACTAAACATTCTAATTTGAGTTTAATCATCAAAATATAAAGGTTTACTTAAATAAGCCTTCTTTAATAGCCATCAAGTATCTTTAGAGCTTAATTATCAAAACAATTTGTTGCTCCACCAGAACCATAAATATAACTATTATAATTTTTTAAGTATCAAAACAAAAAGCCTTAATGCTATAATAATTTCCATAAGTATTTACCGAGGTACTCCTGAGTA